TGATAGAGCTCACAATCATCGTTTGATTTTTGATATATGTGAAGGTTTACGACCACCAATATTACCTGAAATGCCTGGCGATTATGCAGAAATGATGCAGAGGTGTTGGGATGTGGATCCATCAAAAAGACCAACTAGTGAAGAGCTGCTTGGTTTTGCTTATGATAAATATAGCAAAATTATTAAAAATAATAACAATAATAATACTACTAGTAGCAGTAGTAGTAATGATTTGCAACAAGCACACAAACCACATCCAGATGCATATCATGCAAGTAGAATATTGGATGAAGAGATTGCTAAATCTAAAAGTTATAAAAGTAATAGTTCGTTAAATAATCTTGATTGTAACTCTTTTTTTTTAGAATGTTAACAAAGGTGAATAAAAATTTCATTATTATTAATTAATATCCATTAATTATTATTAACAATATTATTAATAAACATTAACTTCTAGTAACAATAGCAAAAGAAAAGATGCGATGAATGACTAATTTAATCTCCACTATAAATTTATTATCATCTTTTTATTTTTTATTTTATCCTTATTTTGTTTCTCAAAGTTAAATTATTATAATGTTTTGAAATAATAAACTTTTTACAATTTTTTGATTCTTGTTAAAACTAATTTTGGCTATATACCATGAAAAACTATTTTTCGCCGATCAATACACAGTACTTACCCAAAAGTTTCGGACCCCCCAAGTTCATTAATTACGCAAAATACTACATAACATTTACACAAAAAATTTATATTTATTTATAGCTTAGATTTTCGAGAAACTATATATAAAATTTCAGGCTTTTAGCACTGATAGATCTCAAATATTAATAAATAAAAAATTTCTGATTAATTTTCGAAAATAAAAGATCTTGACAAGTGATTTTTTAACAATTGCACCAAAATCTATATAGAAATGTGTTTTGAAATTTTTATATGTGATAGTCTAAGATCATTGGAATCTCAAAAAAAAAACAAAATAATTTTTTTTTATACGTAATTCTATTATCTTTTTTTTTTGATAAATTTTTAAACAACACGAAAATGACTAATTTAACTGAAGCTGATCGTGGTCAAATTATTGGTCTTTATAAAGGTAATACTTCAAAAACAAAAATTAGTAAAATCCTTGGCTTTTCTAAAACCACAGTTATTCGAACTATACAAAGTTATGAAGAAAGAAGGGATGTTAAAAACTTGCCTCGAAGTGGCCGACCAAAAATACTAAATAGTGATCATCAAAAATTATTGAAAAAAATTGCCATGAAAAATAACCACAAAACAGCTAAAGTAATAAAAAATCAACTCAATCAAAAAACTGGTTTGAAAGTTTCAATAAACACAGTCAGAAGAGGCTTGCATGCATTGCAAGTAATGGATGGCCTACCAAATATTAAATTTTAAATGTATATATTTAAATGTTGATGTTGAAAAAATCCGTCAAAAAATTCAAAAAATTGATCTTCAAAATTTTTATTTTCGAAAATTAATCAGAAATTTTTTATTTATTATTATTTGAGATCTATCAGTGCTAAAAGCCTGGAATTTTATATATAGTTTCTCGAAAATCTAAGCTATAAATAAATATAAATTTTTTGTGTAAATGTTATGTAGTATTTTGCGTAATTAATGAACTTGGGGGGTCCGAAACTTTTGGGTAAGTACTGTATGTAATATAAAAACACAAACTCTATCCCCTCCATGCTTGCCAAATAAACCTCCAATTAAAATTGGCATATAAGTATTTCATAACATATACTCCAAAACAACGTTACTATTTTTTAAATTTTTTTTTGTTTTAATAACCAAAATAAAACTTTAAACAAGAATAAAAAAATTTTTTTTTAATATTTTAAAAATCCATCAAGGTTAAGTTTGAATAATAAGTTACAAGCCTTTCATTTGATATATTTTCATAACTGTAGGAGCAAAATTGGTAGACTAGGTAGATTTTGAAATTTCGTATAGATTTTATTATATAGCATATTCCCTTTTTTCGAAAGATCATCACGTTCTATAAACTTTTAAAACTAAAGCAAGCGTTTAATGCAATTTTTTATTTTAGTATAATTATTTTATGGGTAAATCACAGTATCACGTAAATAAACGATTATTCCATAACAACAAGTTTCTATTCGAATAAAATGAATAAAACGAATTAATTCGAATCAAACGAATAGAACAAACAGAACAAACAGAACAAATAGAATAAATTAAATATTTTTAAATGATTAAATTGCACAATGAATACAATGAATACTTATTATACATACTTTTTTTATTTATTTACCAAGTGTGAGAGTAGTGAGAATAATTTTGGAGAAAAAGCATCTTAGGAGAATATTTATCGTAATAACGATATTATTATTTATTTATTATTATTATTATTATTGTATTGATTTGCATTTTTCCTAATAAAAAATCCTTCCATATGATTTTTTATGTGTGCGCGCTCAACTTTGTTTATGCTGATGTATAACACTACCTTTACAATATTCTCATGGTCCAACATTTTCAAAATATCAATTTCATTTCTATATTCAATTATTCTGTTTTTGTCATATTTTCCATCACTGACATTGATAATTTTAGCGGCGTAAATGTTTTCATCATTACGGTTATTTGATCTAATTTTCTTAACAATCCATGATTTACCAATTTCATTATGGCTATTACTCTCATCTTCATTATATACAACATGATATTTTTCTCCTGATTGAGCAGGTAAACGATTCTTTCTTCTCTAAATAGATTTTCAAAATCAGATGCTGCATTATTTCAAACCAGAAGTTGTAATATACCAATGATTGATGATGATGATGCAATTAATGAAATAACTATTGCAACTGATGGAATTAAAAATATTACTAAAATACAATTGCCTTTGAATGCTGTAGAAATTATGGCTGATTTGTCCTTTGAAACATTAAAAAGTCAGTATTCTACTATACATAAATGTATTAATCAATATATGAATATATAAATATTATTTTTTTATTTTTATAATAATAATAATAATACTATTGCTTTTTATTTTATTATAATTATTTATGAAGGTTGGAATTTACCAAAGTTCCATTTGCAAATACTTACTCAGAGCCGACCTAATTCTTTTAGTAGGCTTTTAGAATCATTGGATTCATCTATATACTTTGGAGATGAAATTCCTTTGACAATTAATATGGTAAAGGTGCAAGCACACATATTGTTAGACTAGCTGATAAATTTAGTTGGGACCATGGTTTTAAAACATCAGACATAGAATAGCTCAGGGTGGTTTGTTGCCAAAGCATATTACCCATATAGTAATCATGATCATACAGTTCTACTAGAAGATGATATTGAAATTATCACCCTTCTATTATATCTGGTCAAGTATATCGCTTTAAAGTATATATATGGTCCTGATAAGGTACACAGTAATATGATGTATGGTATCAGTTTATACAATCCAAAACACAGAACTTCCACTTCCTGGTCGCAAGAAATTTTACCCTGAACAAGTATTCGACAACACAAGATATGATGTTCGGTCACCTTATCTTTGTCAGGTACCTAGTGATTGAGGTTGTGTTTACTTTCCTGAGATTTGGCATGAATTTCATCAGTATCTTATTGATCGCCTGGAGGATGATAATAATAACTATAAAGTTCAATCCATAAGAATTCCTTATAGTCGTTTCAATAATTGGAAAAATTCATGGAAACAGTTTTTATTGAACTTTATATTTCCGAGATTATGTAATGCTATATCCAAATTTTAGTAATTTCACCAGTTTTTCAACAAGTATTGCTGAATATGATGATACTTACATTCATTTCCGAGAAGGTAAACATGATCCACTATCAATATTGATGGTGCCACTGATGGCTGAAAATGTCATATTCAAAGAACTTCCTGGTGGAGCTTTAGCGGATTATAATGATCTGCCTGTATTGGATTTATGAAATAATATTCGTGGTCATAAATTTCAACGTCAAAATTCGGATTGTCCACCAATTGATACTCCAGATCCCACATACGATCCATATGATTTATTGTGTGTTGATCCAAGCGAGAAAAATATAGCTGGAAAAAAATCTAGAAAGTTTCAAAGAGATATCAATGCAATGATGAAGATTTTTGCAGAGGACTGATGCTGTAGAAATTAAAATGGGACCTCGAAAATTCATAGATATATTTATGAATCTAATGAATAAAACTAGAGAAGCTAGAAACCAATTATTACTACAACTACAACTACCAAAAGACCAGTTAATGTGTCAAGAACAAGAACAAGACCAACTGATGTATCAAAATCAAAACCAAGACCAACTAATAGACCAGAACCAAGGGAAACAAGAACCGCAAACACTGCGAATTCTTGGAAATGTGCTGATATAATGATAAGATTTTTTGGCACAAACACATACATACTAATACATGCAATTCTAAAGTAGACTTTTTCCGTTTATAAGGGAAAATATTATTTATATAAGAGACTTGTAATATACTTTTTTAAAAAAATTATATATATTCTTTTTTAATTTAATTAGATGAAGAATATTCTTCTTTATATAGTATTATTTAAATAATTAATATTATTATTCAATAAAAATTAATTTAAAACCTGAAGAAAAAATCACCAGGCATCATTTAACCTTTTTGCCTTCTAGCATACGATCAGTCCATTCACACCAACTGCATTCCTTCTTGCATATGCTTCAGAAACAATAGATTGTTTCTATGTTCTTGTAATATTCTTGGCCAATAAAATCAGATAATTCAATCTTATTCGTAGTTTTTGATTTATTATTATCAACACGACAATTTAAAATATCCGCAATCAATGAAATCGGCAAAAATGGATAAAGAGTCATCAAGTTATTATCATATTATCGTTATTGCATATAAAAATAAATCATGATGGTAATATCAAATGAGAATGTTGTTGTTTTGCTGTTCCACACCACCAATGTGGGTTGAATCAACTGATTTATTATTAAACCTGAAAAAAAAATTCCATTTCATTAAATAAAAGTAGTATCTGGAGTTGCTCAAGTGAGTATGATCCCCTTTTAATCAAATCGTGTGAATTGGGTTTGAATTTCAAATTCACGCACGACATAATTCATCCCTTCAACAAAAAAAATTCTCTGATAAAAAATTTATTCCAAGTTCTTAGCCGGCTAAAGTTTTTCTACCGGCTAACATCACTAGTTTAGGTACAGTTTAAATTTGAAGTTTAAGGATTTCTTTGTTATCGCTTTTTGTAAAATAAAGTTTTTTTAAATCCACGATTGACAATTAATAATGTCCATATAAAATAAAATTTTTTCAATGTTATTTTTCAAACAAATAATTTTTTTATCTCCCTTTCTTTTTAAAACAACAAATATCATCATTGCTTCGTAAAATTCGTATACTTTTTATTATCGTCGTTATGATTTTTTCTTTGCATTTTTTATTACCAGTAAATAATAATTATAACGAAGAAAACCATGATTATTTCATAAAATCAAATTATAACATCACTAATCCAGAAAGAGAACTTTTACTTAAAGATAAATACGACAATTAGTAAATGATGGAATAATAAAAGCACATAAATTTATACGACAAAATTTAAAACAAAGTATGTTGGAAAATCACAATGAACTGATTTATGGAACTAAAGTAAATACCATATAGAAAGTTTCAGCTTTTCGTAAAAAATTATATTATATTATAGAGAATGGAGAGTGGCAAATAGATTTAAGACTCAGACCTGTTATAAGGCATAAACAAGAACCATTATTTGGTGAATGTGATATAAATAATCATTATTTACAACAAGTACAATATTCATCGCTAGAAACTGACAAAGCATTAGTTAAAGAATATTTTGAAAATTTAAGTGATTCAGTCAAATATCTATAGAAGAACAAAAATAAAGATGAAGAATGCAGTTTACCAAAATTTACTAAAAGAAGCTTGTAAGATTTTATCGGGTCAAAGAATTTCAATATTTGGTGACTCGACAAATTTTCAATTTCATGATATGCTCATAGATTATTTTCATGATGGACTAGTTCAATGTTATGGTGAACTTTTTTGTAAATACCATTCATTATCCAAGGAAGAAGATAGTGATGACTCCGAAAAACCAGAATTTGGTGCTTCATTATTAAGATTCATTAGAAATGATCATTTAACTGTAAGCCATTCTTTATTTGAATCGGGTGATATAGATTTAAATGTTATTACAATTGGTTGGAAACCTTTTATTGGACAGTATAATCTTATGATTCTTAATACAGGACATTATTATCAAGATGATGTATATTGGTGGTCAAGATTGTTTGAGATGGTCTATACCTGGTCCAGCTGATGTCTGGTTAGATTTTTTTTTTTTTTTTTCATAATGAACAATATGATACAGTTTAATTTTAATACGCGATGAAATACTTCTCTATACTAATATAACATGACAAAAATATCGAGTAGAATGGGTGATCGTGGATTTACATAACCTCAGTCTTACTTTTTTTTATTGATCAGATATTATTCGACATATCTTTCTGTAATAAGTCTATACTTTGATGGCTTACCGAAAAAAAGTGAATTGACATTTCCAGTTCTGCTAAGAATATCCGAATCTATGTTATTTGGCCTCTAGATATCTATATACCTCTCCATAATCAAATACCTCATTTATATCTGCGTATTCCTATTCATGATATTTATATAATTTTATGCATATACTTCTCCCGGTTTTGACATGGTGAATCTCCTTTGAGTATTTCGTCTGTTATTCTTTGATTTATTCTTGCAAGGCATATTTGGTATATCTATATGGGTGAAGGATTTCAATTTTTCTGAATTAATCTCAGATAGAAAACATGGACGAACATAATTTTGATCATGAAATAAAAAACAATTAAAATTATATTACATGTCGTGACAAAATTTATAATTATTCGTTTTCTCGCTTTGACATCATAGCCTGGAGATTCCGTATACACAACCTATCACTCATTGAGAAAGGCTATCTCTAGAAGCGGCATCATCATCATCTAAGTGCTCAAGAGGGATAGTAGGATCGGGAGATGTATGCTCAGGAGGTGATGCAGATCTTCCGCGTTTCTCTTACTCACCTCCAATGTATATTAGATATATTAATATTAAATTGATAATCTATCCGCGATGTTATACACATCAATAATCAAACTCGATTATATATAGATCATTTTTCTTTTTCTTTGTGAAAAATAAAAAAAATTTCTTTTTCCTATTTTTCAAAATAATAATAATAATAATTTGCAATTTTTTTATATTGCAAACTCAAGAAACATCCCCAAATCGATTATATTTCAAAACATGTAATTACTTCACTTTAGCAACTTTGTATACACAAATTTTTTTTAAAAAATACATAATGTCTTCAACATTTGCTAGAGGAAGAGCTTTGGAGCTAGACGTCCTCACTCAACCGATTAAGGGAGTCTGGAGTTGAGTGTGAACACATTGGATGAGTTTTTCTCATAGAGTTTTTTTGTTGAGTTGTAGTGTATCTGAAGTTACGCTGCCGCTAGGTGTAAAATGCCTGTGAATTGAAAGCTCATTGTGGCCACGGTTTTAGCTGTGAAAGTTCTCTTTATTTTTAACAGCGATGACACAAATTTCTCACTTTCTACATATTTTTTATATCATTCATATCATTTATAGGGGTCGCGGTGATAGAGGGATTGATATACACGACGTATTTTAAATATTCCTTCGTAAAAATTGAAGCACGAAGAAAATAGGTACATTTTAATTAAATTTGATTATTATATTTATTAATTATCCTATCAATTAATCAATTTCTAACATTACAGGTCTCTCTGTCATCTGGGAGATGGACGATGTACTCACCCGGCAGCCAAGAGGGACGATTAGTGTCGTGGTAGCTCCCAATAAAGATAAATTTACAAAGGGTGCACTGTCCGAGGTTAAAGAATCTGTGTTAGTATATAATGTTATCCTTACGGGCAAAGATGAAATATTTATAGATTTGTTAGAAGTCGCTGGTCGACTTCGATTTTATTTTTATTGTAAATGTATTATTTTTATTTTTATTTTTTATTAACCCTTTTATTATTATTAATTGTATATATTTTTTATCTTTTCTTACTTGTAAATATTTTTTTGTCCCTTTTTCTTTTCTTTATATTAATATGTATATATTTTTTAACTTTTCTTTTACTTGTCACGTATATATTTTTTTTGTCCCCTTTTTCTTTTTTTTATATGTATATATATATTTTTTTTCTTGTCACGTAAATAATTTTTTTATCTCCCTTATTATTATTTATTTTTTCTCGGATATATATTGCCTTGCCCGTAAGGATACTATCATATTTTTTATTATTTTATTTTTAATCATATAACGCTTTTAACAATATTATGATATTTTTATATCATATAATCGTGTTTATTTTGCATTGAAGATCGATGTTTCCTCAGGTTGTGTGTGAATTTGAAATCTGTGTCAATTTAGCAGCCAGAATTTTGCATCCAATCCAAACATCCCGTCCCAAAACAAATTTCAAATTGATACAAATTTGATTTTGAACTAGTGTTGGTTGCCAAAACTATTTTGAAGAGGCGAAAGTCAAAACTAAAATTAAAAGTTATATATGTCAAAACTAAATCAAAAGTTAATAGTCAAAAATCAAAACTAGTTTCGACTTATGGCGAAACCTTTTGACTTTTGCACAGTTGCAAAATTCTCTAATTTTGGAAACCAACACTATTTTGAACCCAACATAAGAAATAATTCGGAAAGTTTGACAAACAATTTTATGTTAATTTATTCAGAAATAAATAATAAAATTTATAGTAATTTACAATAATTTACAATTGTTAAGCTATTAATATATTTATGGTGAGAGATAAAGAAATAATCATATTAATATATAACAAATAAAGAAATTAATTAATTAATTAATTTACCTATTAATGGTACATCAAGTGGACTCTAAAGAAAGGGAATAAATAATTAATATTTTAAATTCAAAATAATAGAATCATTGTTATTATTATGCAAACTATTTAAAAATTGTTATTTTACCTTTCCATTTTTAATTTCAGTAGCAGTTGGGAATTTTCCAAGTCTCATCTAATTAAATAATAATATTTTTTATTAATAAAAATTCATTGATTTAAATTCATTAAATAATTAATCAATTGAAAAGCTTTTTTTTCTTACCAATTCAATACTATGTGAAGCAATAGGATCTTTACCAATTGTAGCTACTGCCAATATTTTTTCTCCTCCTAAAATCAACGATTATTAAATATTCAAAAAATAATATATATATAAACATATTCCACACAAAAGCACAATATTTACTTACGTGCATAATAAGCAGCAAACTTCAATTCATCCAAACTACCATCTATAATAACATCGTCGAAACTACTAGCGTAACCTGCATACCTAAAACTTTTACCATGTTGAGCACTCCAAAAATATGGCAATTTTTTAAATGGTTTTTGATTTTTGATGACAATTTCACTTGCAGCTGCTCTTCCTGTATTTTCAGCAAATGTCTAAATTTCAAAAAGTTTCAAAATTAAAATCAATTTGAATATATAAAATACACACACATACATATATATTACCCAATGTTCTATTCGAATAGTTTCACCAGTTTCGTGATAAGGGAATCTTGCAATATCACCTATTGTTAAAAGAATTTATTTTTATTTTTCAATTCTAAAGTTTTTTATATCACAGTTATATATATATATATATATATATATATACACGCACATACCAACTGCATATACATCATCTAGACCCTCCACCTTGAAATTTTCTGCAACTTTAATACTACCATCTCTTTCCAATGTAATTCCTGGTGTACCCTTCAAAAATCCCTAATACATATATACATATTTGTAGTTAATAACTTATTAATATTAGGTAATCCCAAGATATATATAATCACATACAGTTTCAGGCACAACACCAGCACCAACTACAACAATATCAGCAGGGATTTTGGTTCCATCTTTTAAAACAACCGCAGAACATTTTGTGGGGTCAGATTCTAAAAAAAAAATAAAGTAAACAAATATTTATTAATTATTAAACATTTTAAATTAAAAATATTTATTCAATAAAAATAAATGTTTTATAATGTTTCACTAACCAGAAGCTTCAATTGAATTAACACCAGTCTCTAGATAAAATTTAATGCCATTTTTTTCATGTAATTTTTTTAAAGCTCCACCAATCTCAAGACCAAGTACTCTTTCAAATGGAACCTATATACAATAAATAATAACTAGTTAATAAAACTTATAATAATCTAAGATAGAAAATTAAAAATTAATAATAATAATATTTAGAAAACCTTTTCCATTCCAATAACTGACACATTAGCTCTTTTAGCAGCGATTGACGCAACTTCCATACCAATAAAAGATGATCCAATAACAACTAAATTTTTCTTTTCTTCTTTACCAATGGCTATTATTATTTATTGTGTTTAATGAAAAAATAACAAATTAATCAAATGACTTGGAATGGTCAATAAAGTAAAAACGGTCATCATAATAATATTTATATATATTATATATAAGATGAGGCTAACCATTATCAATGTTTTTATGATCATCAAAAGCTCTTAGATAGAATATATTTTGAAGGTTAATTCCTGGGATTGGAATAGCACGTGGCTAATTAAAACAAATTAAATAATTATTAGTTGTGTGTGAAAGGTATCAAGAATAATGGTATACAAATGTATAATTACTGATGCACCAGTGGCAATAATCAAACTATCATATTTTATTTTTTCATTATTATCAAGAGTAACAATTTTTGAGACGGGATCCAATGCAGTTGCACTCTACAAAAATAGGCAAGTAAAAAAACCAATTATAATAAAATTTAAAAATATAAAAAATAATAAACCAGAAAATTTAACAAGAAAGAAAATTAAAAGAATACTAACAGTTCCTAATTTAAGTGAAATAAATAAATCATCATAAAATGATTTACTTCGAAGAGCTATTTTCTCAACATTCATTCCAAGTGCTTTACTTAATTTTGGTCTAAAATTAAAGAAGCAACATATGTCAAATATTTTAAATATGAACCTTTTCTTGAACGGAAAAATTTTTATTTACCTATCTATTGGAAGATAACTTTCACGGCTTACTATGATAATTTTACCGGTGAATCCATCCTAAATTTATTTAATCAAAACAACTCATCAGATGATTAGAAGATTATGAAATATCAAATATCAAAATGTAAAAAATATGAAAATAAAAAAAAATTTACATTACGAGCTTTTTCTGCAGCTGCATTTCCAGCAGCACCTCCACCAATAATTAACAAAGTAGTTTCATTGGATGGTGGTGCTTCTAATGAACATTTTGGTGGTTTTCTACCACTTTTTAATGCTATATAGTCATAATCAAAATAGCGATCTCATTAACAAATTCAATTATACAACCCCCCCCCATTTGAAAAGCTTTAAAATGTTTACCAATCTCATCTGCCTCAATGATAATCAAATGTAAATAAGTAATTAATTCTATTTTTAAATTTTTGAATATATTTTTAATTGTTTGATGATGTGATAATTTATTTCAGGAAAGAAGTACCAGTCGGTGAATTTAAAGTGCTCTTGTCAAGAATTAATGGGCAAATTTATGCTACTGGTACCAAGTGTACACATTATGGGGTAAAATAAAGAATTAATCAATTAATTAATTGCTGACTACCATTTTAATAACCGTGAACTATGAATCGAGATTTGGATTTATCTAATTTTTCACTAATTATTAAAAATAAAAGGCACCTCTCAGAACTGGTGTGCTTGCAAGCGATGGTCGTCTTACTTGGTAATTTATATTTTATATAACGTAATTTATAATGAGCCATTCTTAATTCACAACATTATGATCTTTGTATTACTATTATTATTAGTCCATGGCATGCTGCTTGTTTCAACGTAACCACTGGTGATATTGGTACGATTGGCTTTATTTAGGAGATATTTCATATATATACATAAGTTTGTATTTCCATTACTAGATTCTCATGTAATTAGTATCAATATTTATTATAAAAAATAGAGGATGCTCCTGGATTGGACAGTCTTCAAAAATACAAAGTATGAACTTGATTCATTTAGTGGAATTATTTTAACATTCGCAAAGTTGATACTCAATTAAGTTTATTTTTTTAGGTAAATATAAAAAATGAGGAAATTT